TGATTGTTGTTGTTGTTGGTTGCTGGCAGGATCATCGCTGTTGATTGTTGAAGTTGATTGTTGCCGGGATGATCGCTGTTGGTTGTTGAAGTTGATTGTTGTTGTTGTTGTTGGTTGCTGGCAGAATCATCGATGTTGATTGTTGAAGTTGATTGTTGCCGGATGATCGCTGTTGGTTGAAGTTGTTGTTGTTGATTGTTGCATCGCTGTTGATTGTTGATGATTGTTGCCGGATGATCTGTTGGTTGTTGAAGTTGATTGTTGTTGTTGTTGGTTGCTGGCAGGATCATCGCTGTTGATTGTTGAAGTTGATTGTTGCCGGGATTGTTGTTGGTTGTTGAAGTTGATTGTTGTTGTTGTTGGTTGCTGGCAGAATCATCTCTGTTGGTTGTGATTGTGAAGTTTGTTTGGTTGCTTGCAGGATGTGTTGATTGTCGAAGTTGATTGTTGCCGGGATGATCGCTGTTGGTTGTTGAAGTTGATTGTTGTTGTTGTTGGTTGCTGGCAGATCATCGCTTTGATTGTTGAAGTTGATTGTTGCCGGGATGATCGCTGTTGGTTGTTGGATTGTTGTTGTTGTTGGTCGCTGTTGATTCGTTGATTGTTGATTGATTGCCGGGATGATCGCTGTTGGTTGTTGAAGTTGATTGTTGTTGTTGTTGGTTGCTGGCAGAATCATCGCTGTTGATTGTTGAAGTTGATTGTTGCCGGGATGATTGCTGGTGAATCATTGGTTGTTGAAGTTTGATTGTTGTTGTTGTTGTTGTTGCTGGCAGGATCATCGCTGTTGATTGTCGAAGTTGATTGTTGCCGGGATGATCGCTGTTGGTTGTTGAAGTTGATTGTTGTTGTTGTTGGTTGCTGGCAGGATCATCGCTGTTGATTGTTGAAGTTGATTGTTGCCGGGATGATCGCTGTTGGTTGTTGAAGTTGATTGTTGTTGTTGTTGGTTGCTGATTGATTGTTGCATGATCGCTGTTGGTTGTTGAAGTTTGTTGTTGTTGTTGGTTGGAAGGATCATCGCTGTTGATTGTCGATTGTTGATTGTTGCCGGATGATCGCTGTTGGTTGTTGAAGTTGATTGTTGTTGTTGTTGGTTGCTGGCAGGATCATCGCTGTTGATTGTTGAAGTTGATTGTTGCCGGGATGATCGCTGTTGGTTGTTGAAGTTGATTGTTGTTGTTGTTGGTTGCTGGCAGGATCATCGCTGTTGATTGTTGAAGTTGATTGTTGCCGGGATGATCGCTGTTGGTTGTTGAAGTTGATTGTTGTTGTTGTTTGTTGGTTGCTGGCAGGATCATCGCTGTTGATTGTCCGTTGTTGATTGTTGCCGGATGATCGCTGTTGGTTGTTGAAGTTGATTGTTGTTGTTGTTGGTTGCTGGCAGAATCATCGCTGTTGATTGTTGAAGTTGATTGTTGCATGATCGCTGTTGGTTGTTGAAGTTGATTGTTGTTGTTGTTGTTGGTTGCTGGCAGGATCATGATTGTTGCCGGGATGATCCGGGATTGATTGTTGCCGGGATGATCGCTGTTGGTTGTTGAAGTTGATTGTTGTTGTTGTTGGTTGCTGGCAGAATCATCGCTGTTGATTGGATTGTTGCCGGGATGATCGCTGTTGGTTGTTGAAGTTGATTGTTGTTGTTGTTGGTTGCTGGGATGATCGCTGGTTGGTTGATTGTTGCCGGGATGATCGCTGATTGTTGTTGTTGTTGGTTGTTGGTTGCTGGCAGGATCATCGCTGTTGATTGTTGAAGTTGATTGTTGCCGGGATGATCGCTGTTGGTTGTTGAAGTTGATTGTTGTTGTTGTTGGTTGCTGGCAGGATTGTTGCATCGCTGTTGGTTGTTGAAGTTTGTTGTTGTTGCAGGATCATCGCTGGTTGAAGTTGATTGATGATCGCTGTTGGTTGTTGAAGTTGATTGTTGTTGTTGTTGTTGCGCCGGATCATCGCTGTTGGTTGTCGAAGTTGATTGTTGCCGGGATGATCGCTGTTGTTGAAGTTGATTGTTGTTGTTGTTGCTGCTGCAGGTCATCGCTGTTGATTGTTGAGTTGATTGTTGCCGGGATGATCGCTGTTGGTTGTTGAAGTTGATTGTTGTTGTTGTTGGTTGCTGGCAGAATCATCTCTGTTGATTGTTGGAAGTTGATTGTTGCCGGATGATCGCTGTTGGTTGTTGAAGTTGATTGTTGTTGTTGTTGATTGCGGCAGGATCATCGCTGTTTGTTGAAGTTGATTGTTGTTGAAGTTGATTGTTGTTGTTGTTGGTTGCTGGCAGAATCATCTCTGTTGGTTGTTGAAGTTGATTGTTGCCGGGATGATCGCTGTTGGTTGTTGAAGTTGATTGTTGTTGTTGTTGTTGGTTGCAGGCAGGATCATCGCTGTTGATTGTTGCCGGGATGATCGTTGATTGATTGTTGCCGGGATGATCGCTGTTGGTTGTTGGGATGATCGTTGATTGTTGTTGTTGTTGTTGTTGGTTGCTGGCAGAATCATCGCTGTTGATTGTTGAAGTTGATTGTTGCCGGGATGATCGCTGTTGGTTGTTGAAGTTGATTGTTGTTGTTGTTTGGTTGCTGGCAGAATCATCGCTGTTGATTGTTGAAGTTGATTGTTGCCGGATGATCGCTGGCATTGTTGTTGTTGTTGGTTGCTGGCAGGATCATCGCTGTTGATTGTTGAAGTTGATTGTTGCCGGGATGATTGTTGAGGATCATCTCTGTTTGATCGCTGTTGGTTGTTGAAGTTGATTGTTGTTGTTGTTGGGTTGCAGGCGAGGATCATCGCTGTTGATTGTCGAAGTTGATTGTTGCCGGGATGATCGCTGTTGGTTGTTGAAGTTGATTGTTGTTGTTGTTGTTGGTTGCAGGCAGAATCATCGCTGTTGGTTGTTGGATTGATTGTTGTTGTTGTTGGTTGCGGGCTGTTGATGATCGCTGTTGGTTGTTGAAGTTGTTGTGTTGTTGGTTGCTGGCAGGATCATCGCTGTTGATTGTCAGAGTTGATTGTTGCCGGATGATCGCTGTTGGTTGTTGAAGTTGATTGTTGTTGTTGTTGGTTGCTGGCAGAATCATCTCTGTTGATTGTTGAAGTTGATTGTTGCCGGGATGATCGCTGTTGGTTGTTGAAGTTGATTGTTGTTGTTGTTGGTTGCTGGCAGGATCATCGCTGTTGATTGTCGAAGTTGATTGTTGCCGGGATGATCGCTGTTGGTTGTTGAAGTTGATTGTTGTTGTTGTTGGTTGCTGGCAGGATCATCGCTGATTGATTGTTGATTGTTGCCGGGATTGCTGGTTGTTGAAGTTGATTGTTGTTGGTTGGTTGCTGGGCAGAATCATCTCTGTTGATTGTTGTTGATTCGCTGTTGTTGTTGAAGTTGATTGTTGTTGTTGTTGTTGGTTGCTTGTCCGGGATGATCGCTGTTGGTTGTTGAAGTTGATTGTTGTTGTTGTTGTTGCTGGCAGGATCATCGCTGTTGATTGCTGAAGTTGATTGTTGCCGGGATGATCGCTTGGTTGTTGAAGTTGTTGTTGTTGGTTGCTGGCAGGATCATCTCTGTTGATTGTTGAAGTTGATTGTTGCCGGGATGATCGCTGTTGGTTGTTGAAGTTGATTGTTGTTGTTGTTGTTGGTTGCAGGCAGGATCATCGCTGTTGATTGTTGAAGTTGATTGTTGCCGGGATGATCGCTGTTGGTTGTTGATTGTTGTTGTTGTTGTTGGTTGCAGGAGTTGATTGTTGTTGTTGTTTGTTGCTGGCAGGATCATCGCTGTTGATTGTTGAAGTTGATTGTTGCCGGGATGATCGCTGTTGGTTGTTGAAGTTGATTGTTGTTGTTGTTGTTTGCTGGCAGGATCATCTCTGTTGATTGATTGTTGCCGGGATGATCGCTGTTGGTTGTTGAAGTTGATTGTTGTTGGATGTTGGTTGCTGGCTGGATCATCGGTTCGCTGTGGTTGTTGAAGTTGATTGTTGTTGTTGTTGTTGGTTGCTGGCAGAATTGATTGGGATGATTGTTGGTTGTTGGTTGTTGTTGTTGTTGGTTGGCAGGATCATCGCTGTTGGTTGTTGAAGTTGATTGTTGCCGGGATGATCGCTGTTGGTTGTTGAAGTTGATTGTTGTTGTTGTTGGTTGCAGGCAGGATCATCGCTGTTGATTGTCGAAGTTGATTGTTGCCGGGATGATCGCTGTTGGTTGTTGAAGTTGATTGTTGTTGTTGTTGGTTGCTGGCAGAATCATCTTGCCGGGATGATCTGTTGTTGTTGAAGTTGATTGTTGCCGGGATGATCGCATCTCTGTTGGTTGGTTGTTGTTGGTTGTTGATTGTTGTTGTTGTTGGTTGCAGGCAGGATCATCGCTGTTGATTGTCGAAGTTGATTGTTGCCGGGATGATCGCTGTTGGTTGTTGAATTGTTGATTGTTGTTAGTTGTTGTTGGTTGTTGCTGCTGCCGGATGATCGCTGTTGGTTGTTGAAGTTGATTGTTGCTGTTGTTGTTGGTTGCAGGCGGGATCATCGCTGTTGATTGTTGATGATCGCTGTTGTTGTTGAAGTTGACTGTTGTTGGATGATCGCTGTTGATTGGTTGATTGAAGCCGGGATGATTGTTGGTTGTTGAAGTTGATTGTTGGTTGCTGGATCATCGCTGCGAGTTGATTGTCGCTGGATGATTGTTTTGTTGAAGTTGACGTTGTTGTTGTTTTTGGCAGGATCATCGCTGTTGGATTGCCGGATGATCGGGAGATCTGTTGGTTGTTGAAGTTGATTGTTGTTGCTGTTGGTTGTTGGTTGCAGGCAGGATCATCTGTTGGTTGTTGAAGTTGATTGTTGCCGGGATGATCGCTGTTGGTTGTTGAAGTTTGTTGAGTTGTTGTTGTTGTTGTTGGTTGATTGGCCAGATCATCGCTGTTGATTGTTGAAGAATTGTTGCCGGATGATCGTTAGAGTTGATTGGTTGTTGTTAAGTTGATTGTTGTTGTTGTTGTTGGTTGCAGGCAGGAATCATCTGATCTGTTGGTTGTTGAAGTTGATTGTTGCCGGGATGATCGTTGCTGGTTGCTTGTTGTTGAAGTTGATTGATTGTTGTTGTTGTTGGTTGCAGGCAGGATCATCGCTGTTGATTGTCGAAGTTGATTGTTGCCGGGATGATCGCTGTTGGTTGTTGAAGTTGATTGTTGTTGTTGTTGTTGGTTGCAGGATCATCTCTGTTGCAGGATCATCGCTGTTGGTTGTTTGAGTTGATTGTTGCCGGGATGATCGCTGTTGGTTGTTGTTGAATGATCGTTTGATTGTTGTTGTTGTTGTTGTTGTTGCAGGCAGGATCATCGCTGTTGATTGTCGAAGTTGATTGTTGCCGGGATGATCGCTGATCGCTTGGTTGTTGAAGTTGATTGTTGTTGTTTGTTGTTGTTGTTGTTGTTGGTTGCAGGCAGGATCATCGCTGTTGATTGTCGAAGGATTGTTGCCGGGATGATCGCTGTTGGTTTTGATTGTTGTTGAATCATCTCGCTGTTGATTGTTGAAGTTGTTGTTGTTGATCATCGCTGTTGTTGATTGTTGTTGGTTGTTGTTGATTTTGCTGCCATCGGTTGATTGATCGGGATGATCGCTGTTGGTTGTTGTTGTTGTTGTTGTTGATGGATCATCGCTGTTGATTGTTGAAGGATTGTTGATGATCGCTTGTTGGTTGTTGATTGATTGTTGTTGTTGGTTGCTGGCAGGATCATCTCTGTTGATTGTCGAAGTTGATTGTTGCCGGGATGATCGCTGTTGGTTGTTGAAGTTGATTGTTGTTGTTGGTTGCTGGCAGAATCATCTCTTGGTTGCTGATTGTTGCCGGGATGATCGCTGTTTGTTGTTGAAGTTGATTGTTGTTGAAGGATGATTGTTGTGATGCTGTTGGTTGTTGAAGTTGATTGTTGTTGTTGGTTGGTTGCATCGGCAGAATCATCTCTGTTGGTTGTTGATTGATTGTTGCCGGGGATGATCGCTGATTGGTTGTTGAAGTTGATTGTTGTTGTTGTTGTTGTTGGTTGCAGGCAGGATCATCGCTGTTGATTGTCGAAGTTGATTGTTGCCGGGATGATCGCTGTTGGTTGTTGAAGTTGATTGTTGTTGTTGTTGTTGGTTGCAGGCAGGATCATCGCTGTTGATTGTCGAAGTTGATTGTTGCCGGGATGATCGCTGTTGGTTGTTGAAGTTGATTGTTGTTGTTGTTGGTTGCTGGCAGGATCATCGCTGATTGTGTTTGGTTGTTGAAGTTGATTGTTGTTGTTGTTGGTTGCTGGCGAGGATGATCGCTGTTGGTTGCTGGATTGTTGAAGTTGTTGATTGTTGTTGTTGTTGATTGGTTTGCCAGGATCATCGCTGTTGATTGTCGAAGTTGATTGTTGCCGGGATGATCGCTGTTGGTTGTTTGAAGTTGATTGTTGTTGTTGTTGTTGGTTGCTGGCAGGCATCTCTGTTGGTTGTTGATTGATTGTTGCTGGGATGATCGCTGTTGGTTGTTGAAGTTGATTGTTGTTGTTGTTGTTGGTTGCTGGCAGGATCATCGCTGTTGATTGTCCGATTGTTGCCGGGATGATCGCTGTTGGTTGTTGAAGTTGATTGTTGTTGGTTGTTGTTGTTGTTGGATTTGATCATCGGGAAGTTGATTGCTTTTGGTTGTTGTTGATTGTTGTTGTTGTTGTTGTTTTGTGGGATCATCGCTGTTGATTGTCGAAGTTGATTGTTGCCGGGATGATCGCTGTTGGTTGTTGAAGTTGATTGTTGTTGTTGTTTGTCACTGTTGGTTGTTGTTTGATTGTTGCCAGGATCATCGCTGTTGGTTGTTGAAGTTGATTGTTGCTGGATGATCGCTGTTGGTTGTGATCGCTGAAGTTGATTGTTGTTGTTGTTGTTGGTTGCAGGCAGGATCATCGCTGTTGATTGTCGAAGTTGATTGTTGCCGGGATGATCGCTGTTGGTTGTTGAAGTTGATTGTTGTTGTTGTTGGTTGCTGGCAGAATCATCTCTGTTGGTTGTTGAAGTTGATTGGCCGGGATGATCGCTGTTGGTTGTTGAAGTTGATTGTTGTGTTGTTGTTGGTTGCTGGCAGAATCATGTTGTTGTTGCTGTTGATTGTCGAAGTTGATTGTTTGCCGGGATGATCGCTGTTGGTTGTTGTTGTTGCTGGCAGGATCATCGCTGTTGATTGTTGTTGTTGCTGGATTTTGGTTGTTGTTGATTGTTGATTCTCTGTTGATTGTTGAAGTTGATTGTTGCCGGGATGATCGCTGTTGGTTGTTGAAGTTGATTGTTTGTTGTTGTTTGCAGGCAGGATCATCGCTGTTGTTGATCGCTGTTGGTTGTTGAGGATCATCGCTGTTGGTTGATTGTTGCTGATTGTTGTTGTTATTTTGCTTGATTGGATGATCGCTTGGGTTGTTGAAGTTGATTGTTGCCGGATGATCGCTGTTGGTTGTTAAAGTTGTTGCATCGCTGTTGTTGTTGTAGTTGTTGTTGTTGTTGTTGGTTGCTGGCAGGATCATCCTCATTGATTGTCGAAGTTGATTGTTGCCGGGATGATCGCTGTTGGTTGTTGAAGTTGATTGTTGTTGTTGTTGTTGGTTGCAGGCAGGATCATCGCTGTTGATTGTCGAAGTTGATTGTTGCCGGGATGATCGCTGTTGGTTGTTGAAGTTGATTGTTGTTGTTGTTGTTGGTTGCTGGCAGAATCATCTCTGTTGGTTGTTGAAGTTGATTGTTGCCGGGATGATCGCTGTTGGTTGTTGTTGTTGTTGTTGGTTGCAGGCAGGATCATCGCTGTTGATTGTCGAAGTTGATTGTTGCCGGGATGATCGCTGTTGGTTGTTGAAGTTGATTGTTGTTGTTGTTGTTGGTTTCTGGCAGGATCATCGCTGTTGATTGTTGAAGTTGATTGTTGCTGGATGATCGCTGTTGGTTGTTGAAGAGAATTGATTGATCGCTGATTGTTGTTGGTTTATGGCAGATCATCGCTGTTGATTGTTAGGTTGATTGTTGCCGGATGATCGCTGGTTGTTGAAGTTGATTGTTGTTGTTGTTGGTTGCAGGCAGCTGTTGATTGTCATCTCTGGGATGATCGCTGTTGGTTGTTGATTTGTTGTTGTTGTTGGTTGGTTGCAGATCGCTGTTGATTGTTGATTGATTGCCGGGATGATCGCTGTTGGTTGTTGAAGTTGATTGTTTTGTTGTTGTTGTTGGTTTGCTGGCAGGATCATCGCTGTTGATTGTCAAGTTGATTGTTGCCGGGATGATCGCTGTTGGTTGTTGAAGTTGATTGTTGTTGTTGTTGGTTGCTGGCAGGATCATCGCTGTTGATTGTCGAAGTTGATTGTTGCCGGGATGATCGCTGTTGATTGAGTTGATTGTTGTTGTTGTTGTTGCTGGCAGATCATCTCTGTTGTTGAAGTTGATTGTTGCCGGGATGATCGATTGTTGTTGTTGATTGTTGTTGTTGTTGTTGGTTGGATCATCATCGCTGTTGATTGTCGAAGTTGATTGTTGCCGGGATGATCGCTGTTGGTTGTTGAAGTTGATTGTTGTTGTTGTTGTTGTTGGTCATCGCTGTTGATTGTTGAAGATGATCGCATTGAAGTTGATTGTTGTTGTTGGTTGTTGCAGAATCATCGAGTGTGATTGTTGCCGGGGATGATCGTTGGTTGTTGAAGTTGTTGTTGTTGTTGTTGGTTGCAGGCAGGGATCATCTCTGTTGGTTGTTGAAGTTTGATTGTTGTTGTTGTTGGGCAGGATCATCGCTGTTGATTGTCGAAGTTGATTGTTGCCGGATGATCGCTGTTGGTTGTTGAAGTTGATTGTTGTTGTTGTTGGTTGCAGGCAGGATCATCGCTGTTGATTGAAGTTGATTGTTGCCGGGATGATCGCTGTTGGTTGTTGATTGTTGTTGTTGTTGGTTGCGGGATCATCGCTGTTGGTTGTTGAAGTTGATTGATTGATGATCGCTTGTTGGAAGTTGTTGGTTGTTGAAGTGTTGTTGCCGGTTGCAGGATCATCGTTGTTGATTGTCGAAGTTGATTGTTTGGTTGTTGTTGTTGTTGGATGATCGCTGTTGCCAGATTCGCTGTTGGTTGTTGAAGTTGATTGTTGATTGTTGTTGATCGCTGTTGGTTGCTGAAGCATGATCATCGCTGTTGATGATTGTTGTTGAATCGTTGTTGTTGTTGTTGGTTGCAGGCAGGATCATCGTTGATTGTCGAAGTTGATTGTTGCCGGGATGATCGCTGTTGGTTGTTGAAGTTGATTGTTGTTGTTGTTGGTTGCTGGCAGGCATCGCTGTTGGTTGTTGAAGATTGTTGCCGGGATGATCTGTTGGTTGTTGAAGTTGATTGTTGCCGTTGGTTGGTTGCAGGCAGAATCATCGCTGTTGGTTGCTGAAGTTGATTGTTGTTGGGATTGCTGTTGTTGTTGAGATTGATTGTTGTTGATCATTGCGGCTGGATGATTGTCATCGCGATTGTCGTTGGTTGTTGAAGTGATTGTTGCCGGGATGATCGCTGTTGGTTGTTGTTGATTGTTGTTGTTGTTGTTTTGGTTGCAGGCAGGATCATCGCTGTTGATTGTCATCGATTGTTGCCGGGATTCGCTTTTTGGTTGTTGAAGTTGATTGTTGTTGTTGTTGTTGGTTGCTGGCAGGATCATCTCTGTTGGTTGTTGAAGTTGATTGTTGCCGGGATGATTGTTGTTGAAGTTGATTGTTGTTGTTGTTGTTTGCAGGCAGGATCATCGCTGTTGATTGTCGAAAGTTGATTGTTGCCGGGATGATCGCTGTTGGTTGTTGAAGTTGATTGTTGTTGTTGTTGTTGGTTGCAGGCAGGATCATCGCTGGTTGTCGATTGATTGTTGCCGGGATGATCGCTGTTGGTTGTTGAAGTTGATTGTTGTTGTTGTTGTTGGCAGGATCATCGCTTTGGGATTGTTGCATGATCGCTGTTGGTTGTTGAAGTTGATTGTTGCCGGATCATCGCTGTTGGTTGTTGAAGTTGATTGTTTGCCGGGATGATCGCTGTTGGTTGTTGTTGATTGGTTGTTTGTTGGTTGCAGGCAGGATCATCGCTGTTGATTGTCGAAGTTGATTGTTGCCGGGATGATCGCTGTTGGTTGTTGAAGTTGATTGTTGTTGTTGTTGTTGGTTGCTGGCAGGGATCATCGCTGTTGATTGTTGTTGTTGGTTGCGGGATGATCGCTGTTGGTTGTTGAAGTTGATTGTTGTTGGATGATCGCTGTTGATTGTTGAAGTTGATTGCCGCCGGGATGATCGCTTTGGTTGTTGAAGTTGATTGTTGTTGTTGTTGTTGGTTGCAGGCAGATCATCGCTGTTGGTTGTCGAAGTTGATTGTTGCCGGGATGATCGCTTGTTGGTTGTTGAAGTTGATTGTTGTTGTTGTTGTTGGTTGCTGGCAGAATTGTTTGCATGATCGCTGTTGGTTGTTGAAGTTGATTGTTGCCGGGATGATCATCGCTGTTGGTTTGATTGTTGCCGGGATGATCGCTGTTGGTTGTTG